GCTGAACGGTAAGATCAGATTATATTCTATTAAAGAAGAGAAGGAAGAGTCATTTGAGTTCGAAATCATTACTCTTCATAGAGTATAAAATATATGATCTGATTTAAGATTGTCTTCTCACCAGAGCATTTGGCGCACACCAAAAGGTTTGATGCCTGTACGTGCCTTATAAATGGACTTAATTACAACCACTGCATTGTGAACAAGGATTATGAGCATTAGAAATAGCAATCACTTGTTTAAGCAAATTAATGGTTGTCTGGTAGGATGAAAATTTACTTCCAAAATCCTTTTGAAACTCCACTTTACATCATTCAATGAATTTGTAGAACTCTTCCGCCGCAGGAAAATTTAAAATCTTAAAAATGACCAGATGTGGGCATTGTTAATTGAGAAAACAAAAAACGGGGTTATTCTAGTATAGGATGATGACATTTACTAGTACTTTCAATCTCGTAACATGGATTTATCTTCAGCTTTTGTGAACACGGATAGTTGATTCAGATTCTAAGCTTTGGGATCAAAATCTGTCGGAGCACTAGTTCAAGATGCCGATTTCAATTACAACTTTAACACATACTTGCTTTCAAAAAATTATAGGAAAGATTGGATGTTTCGAAATGCCACAGTTCTAATCATGAACAAAAATAAAATAAAAAAAACCCCCATTACTTACACAATTATATTTTTTTTCATATAAATATGATTAACATATACAGATCATAATTCAATTATAATTATTGCTTCTAATATAAACAGCAATTATATAAATTTCTGTTTATAATAGAAGTCTAGAGTTTTATGACATGGCCTTTTGGGCAAAAAATCTGCCGAAATATTCAAAATTCTTGGATTGTGGATCTCAATAATATCTTTCAAATTGATGTTGCAAATAACATTGTTCGAGCTAACAATCAGTTGAGCTTCATCATGATAATTCAAGCTTTGCTCCGAGTCAAAAGAGTGAAGAATTGAAAAAGATGTAACATAAATAAATTCAGAAAAAATTAGAGTTCAGTATTAAAATAACCAAGATTAGATAAAGATCGTAATTTTATGAAAAAGCATTCAGAAACTTTTTACAAATATCTTGATAGGTAAGAGGAACAGAATTTATTTAGTTGCAAACGTAGCTGAAATAGAATGAGTATACAAACAAAATAAAAGAGTTCAGTATTCAAGAAAAAATTTTTAATTGAAATTTGAATCCTTTGACGTGCATTATAAGAGAAAAAATTTAAATTTTTGGAAAAATGAAGATATAAATTTTAAATCATCCAAAGAACCTTTTAATATTCTATAAACAAAATTTTACAGTCAAAAGCTTATATGAATGAATAAGCTTAAATCAAAAGAATATTTACGAATCAAATCTTAATAAAAAACCTCAATGAATCAAATATTTTCATGTATAAAAGAAGCTTAAATTCACATACCTATTTGATGTTTTGATAGAATTCTACGTGATTAAATTTCATAAGTTGATAATTTCATAAAAAAAATAGCGTTGGACAAAAATTTTCTATCATCTCTTGATATTTGCAATTCAGATAAATATTCGATCATTTAATTAAATAAAAATAAATTTTTAATCAAAAAAGGTTTTGAAATCATAACATTCTTCTTGTAAAAGCAGATGGTTGTTACTGAAAGAAATTTCAAACACGATAAAAACTTTTACTTCAAATAAAGATATTGAAGATACAGTCAGATATTAATATCAATCTCGACTTTTGAGCTTTAAAAAAATATAAAAGTGATATTGTGATTATTGAAATATTATTTTGATAATAATTATATACATATGTTAACATTCAAATTAATTCACACGACGGCAAGTAATGAAGTATTGAAGGTTTTAACTGAAAGTTGTGATGAGTGTTTTTGCTTTTTTGTCATGGACAGAATCAAGTGAAATTAATTATGATCGTCTTATTTTTTAAGTCCGTCTAAATAGGGTTTTTCCAATGTGCCAAAATAAAAGTGAGTGACTTAAGGTAGATCTTTGTCATTATAAAGAAAGAGTTACATGATATGATTAATGGCATCATCAAGTGATAACGACAAGTTTTCAATGTACATGCTTTACATCACGCGATTTGTAAAAGGATGAAGAATGGATTGGTGGAATGTTGTGAGGGGCCTATACTATAATTCACAAATCACAGTCGGAGACCAATTATTGTTGCTAAGACATATCGTACATTTGAGATATTTTTGTATAACCTGATTATTCATTCTCTTATAGAATGAAGAGACAACAACCACATCTCTCTAAGTATACGTGCTGGTGGAGAAGGAAAATCCTTGTTACTCTTTTTCATAATTTTTGAATGAGAACAATCAATATATATGCTTTTATCATTGAATGAACAAGTCCTCAATGCTTTTATTGTTCTTGCATAAGTGTACTAAGAGTTCGGTCGGTCAACTTCAATTCAGGCATCATTTCTAGAAGGAAGACCAGGCAATGTGGAAAGGTTCCATGTCATCTACCAGTTTTCCGGTAGTCTATAGCCGAAGCGAAGTAGTGAAGCTTGTGAGTTACTTCATCATTATCAGCAGAGTTACCACTCACTTTGCTGTAAGTGATTGGATCTTCATTCCCCTTCTGTCCAGTTTTATTGAGCTATGGAGCTTACCAAAGGGTAGGCTCTCCTACATCCAATCGCCAATGTGCCGCCTCAGACATTGTACTGAGATATCGTGAGAGAGTCTCGAAGTCAAAGCCATGCTTTACAAGTAGTTGCACGCAAGGTTATCAACCATAGCAGGAGCTTCGTGAACCAAATTACATCAGGGAGATCACTGGAAACAGAGTAAGTCTAAGCTTGAAAGACGATTCCAAATTTCTGGCAGTACAGTCATTGGCAACTCTGCTGAGAATGATAACATCAATAGGTAGCTTCACTCAGTCACTTCGGCTGTAGAATCTCGGGCAAATGATAAGTGACAAAGCGCGTCCGGCTGCAGCCTAGTAAAATGCTTGTCTACTAATTTTGAAACTCGATTTGAAGGTGCTTGAAATCTCTTGTTCCACTTATCATGCAAGGACGAGAATCACGAAAATTAAATGTAACAAGTGAATTCTTTATTTGCCGATCAAGGCATAAAACATTGTTTTTATTCAGACATCAAGAAAAGAGGCAAACATTCGATTTCTCTGAGCCTTTCGATGTACAGGGCACAATTCTGAAGTCCGAATAAGACCAGACAGGCCCGCTGATACAATTTTCCTTTTTGATCGGAATCAAAGGGAGGAGTCAAGCTTGTTATCTTGGATCTAACGACCATGATAATGCCAAAATAGTCAACACGTAATCTATAGCCTGATTATCTTATTGGGTGGAAATCACCAATGTAGCTACAAGTAGACAACATATGACAGGGGTGAAAGGCATTTCGAAAACAGACGCGGGTGTGGTGCATATGCAACATACATGCGCTCTCGTCAGTTTAAATATCTCAGGCTTTACAAGTTGCAGCCCCGCCCTCGATGACAGAGGGCTCTATGAACCCAAGCCAAGTCCCTTGTTGTTTCCGAATTTATCGACATTCAGACTTCCCACCATAAAAACTGTTCTAGGGTGAAAAGAGAGGACAATACCAGGCACAATGTAGGAAGAGGCGTCAGAACACTTCGGAGCTGTGGTTCCAACGTTGGTCTACAGCCATATCTCTTCTTCTAATGATTGCCTTCCTTTTCTTTCAGCACAGATATCAGGAATTCGATCTCTGCAAATTGTAACAACTTTGATCACTGTATAGACCTTGATGATCAATGTTTCAAAAGCAATTAGTCTTTGACTGTGATAGAATGCACACAAACGACATGTTTTAGTTTCTCATGGAAATGAGAAATTCAGATATATGATGAAATACGAATCTCTGGTCGCCATAGTCTCTGATCTTCACCACAAGAATACTGTGAATTCTAATCTTCCTGTAGTATCGGATTTCTTATGGGACTCTTCTTTGTTATGGTTATGATAATTGGTTGAACACAATGAATTCGCCACAAATCCAATCAGTTGTAATCACCGCTCTTCCACCATTGCAACATGGACAACGGCTCTAAGTGAGAAGATTGACTGAAGGAGTCAATGGTTGGCGAGTGGAAGAGAAGGGTGAACCAAATATCCTGTATTCGAGATTGGAAGTCAGCTCCGATGAGGAAACGATCGGAAACATACTTAGTTGAAGCTAAGGACATAATTGTCGGGAGAATTGTCCAAAGTCGATGAGAGAGAGTCAACGTCTTAGGTTGATCACGCTGAAAGACGAATTTGAGGGACTTGGGACCAGTACCTCTCCCTCGATTCTCTTGTAGACATATAAACGGAATGCGGCGAAATAACGACTTCTTGATAATTGATGAACTACAGAATGTGTGTGCAGAACAGATTTGAATGAAAATCGCTGAGATCGAAGGTTTGATCGCGAACTGATCCTGCTCATCTGCCCATGCGCTCGACATATATAGTTAAAAGGATGGCTTAGCTTTCAAAATTTCCATGGAATCAAAACTTTCAGAGCAAACGTCTGTTCAGCCAAAAGTCATGTTTTCTTGACCCAGAACCTGTGGTGGGGAAGAAAATATGAGGTTCACTGCAGTTATGGCCAAACGTGCACAGCGTCATCATTCAAACTTCTCCATAACTTTAGCATAACGTTCGCGCGTGCTTTGACAAAAGCCGAAAGTGTTCAGAAATTGATAGCTCTCGCTCGAATATTGTGGGCCCATTCTTTGGTGTAATCACGTCTAATGAAACAATTTTGGGAGAAGCCTTGACTTCCCAGACAAACTTTGGTTAGGAAAGTCAACGAGATTCAGAATCCAGAGTGTCTATTCAGAATCCAGGCTGCACCGCACATCTCTATACAATTCTTATCAAAACCAAGAACAGGTACAGAAAAACTTGCCACTAAAGAGTTCTATGTCTGTCTCAAGACATATGTATATATCAGTGCTTTCGGCTGAAACATACCAGTTTCTCATGTTTCAGCTGAAGTACCGGTAGTTGATGATGGCTCAACTTTCATCATTCACATAAGTCTAGCATCCGTGCGAATGAAGAGTAGGGCTTGCTCAGTCTTCCTAGTGCAATTGAAGGATATATGTCTGCGAAGACTGTGCTCTTCAATCTGCTGTTCCGGAGGTAGTCTGTCATGGCCAGAATGACAATGCACATTCTGAGCAGGAACGCCGCAAGGACGCATTCTATGCTACCTCCGTTGTCACCAAAGGTATCACTCTAACGAAGTCCGAGACGTTGTAGGCTTTCCAATATAGCTTCTGAGATTACTGTTGCTGAACTTGTGATTGAAAGCTTCAATGAGTGTGGTGTGCTCACTTGCATCACTATGAGATAACGAGTATTGTGTTTGCGTCAGAAGAGCATCGAGCTGAAGGTGCCAATGTGCTGCGAAGTATGCGAAGAAAATGTGAGAGAGGAGCTGACAGTACTAGAAGGTACGACTCCGGTTACCAGATATTTACAGTTGTTCCATTTCAGATTTATTCAGATCTTCGATAACTTGATTCTCATATGCTCGTGCTCCGATGGATGTTTGCAGGTGTGAAAGAAATCAGCATAGATGTCGGCACTCAAAAGGTGATTGTCTGGGGTCACTGTGATGTGAGGTTAGAGCCTTACGTTGTGCTCAGAGCAGTTAAAAAGGTGAAGCACCGGGCAGAAATGTGGAGAAAGTGAAATTCACGATTATTCGACTATCGTTACATCTGAAAGACCAGCTACAAATACTTCTCTTTCCAAACAATCAAGTGCATCAGTGGAAACATTACAAATGATAGTGCATAAACGAGTTTCTACAAGATAGAGATAAATTCACTATTCTCCCTGCTTACAGCGTCTCGTTTTCTTCACAAAACACTGCCCTGGCTATGGACTCTCACTCACTCGCATTTGTTTGCTCTTGCTTATTAGCGTGAGATCCCATATAGACAATTGGAACCTCTCCGTTACAGTCTTTAGTCTATATGGACTCTCAGTCATAGAAAGTCATCGTTGGAACCTATCACCCATATAGACTTGGTATCCACTTCTCCATGAGCTTCCTGACACAACTTGTTATGGCTGCCAAATCTGTTTTGACTTGTACAGAAGTACTTCTTACTCCTCGAAACTCAGAAGCTACTTTGTCAATATTCCAAGCATTTGTTCGATCTTGCGTACTAGCGTGAGATCCCACATAGACAATTGGAACCTCTCTGTTGAAGTCTTTGGTGTTTCCGGCGACGTCGGCATTGCAACTTGGAACGCAAGTAAGATGAAGAATCTGATGTAAAAACTGTTAAATTCCCTAAATAGAAACATGTAAATTCTGATCTTGAGTCATCTGTAGATCAAAAGTATTGAGTAGATAGCATTGTTATGTTTACTATATGTTTATCATCAGTCAACAATACAATTATAATTTTATTGTAAGAGATTTTATATCTATCATAATGAAACAACACATGCAATGATGACCTATAAGATGCAAGTAATGAATTAAAAAAATAAATGATCGTTCTTTCATCGTTTATATTTTCTCACAGATTTAAAACATTATCAACAATATTACCAAGTACATCGATATTATCTTGGATCTTTGTGGTATAATATTTTATTTTGAAGCCATTTATTTCAAAGAGTCAAACAATCTCTTTGACAATTCTTTGAGTTGTAACGACACCCAATAATCTCAAACAACAAAGTATGGTCATCATATTCATCCATTAGTTTAAGATCCAAAGATGGCAAATGTAGTTAAAAATATTTATAGTCTGATTCTCAAATTACTTCCACTCGTCATTGTTGTATGTGGATGGTTTTGGCTTCAGCATCTTGCCCAAATCCTTAGACTTTAGCTTGACTTTGACTTGTCTCTTCCAAAGCAGAGATAGTTCCTATGTCCATTGTTTTTCACTATGATATATCTTTTGTTTCTAGACTTCATGCGCTCCATCTTGTTCTGCCAAATCCTTGATGAACTTACTTATGTTTTTGGTGCAAAATTGTTTTCACTTATTATGATTTGTACAAAAATGTTGAAAAATTTGTTCTACTACTACTATCTTTTTAGTTAGGAAAAATATTCTGATGCCACTACTAAGAGTCGGAGCATGGAACTTATCCATAACTTGACTTGCATGTTTTTTTAATACTAGAGCTGATTCCTATGAACTTCATAACTCAATTTACAACTCTTTAATTTGGTTCACATAATCTTGTCCTACCAAACTAAGGTTTACGTTGTGGAATACAGTAATGATACATTTGAAATTATTGGGATATTGTTGACAAAAGGTAAAATATAGTAGTACCCATTATCTTCTCAAAGACTTATTCTACTCCTAGTAACTCCGACTAAACTATGTTTAGTTTGGCATTCATGATGACATCTTGATATTAAGTCACAACATTTAACAATTTATTTACTATTTGATATACATGAATAACGATTGTTTGGTATCTATATTAAACTATTATATATTAAAACATATTATATTTAAAAAAATGGCTAGTTATCCCTCAATTTAGGCTAATTATACCTCATCCATAATAATTAGCCAAGTCATCCAAGTGATCGGATCAACGAAGTCAAATGGAAACATTATTTTTGTTGATCGAATTCTTTGTCATAAAGTTGGTTGGCTGCAACCCTCTGCTTCCGACACTGCATGGACCAAGTATGAGTTGGGTTTGACAAGATTTATGAGTTCTTCAACCGCGGGGTTGTTGAGTATCATGTATAGCAAGAATTTTATTTGATGAAAAAAACGTTATGGTTACGACCTCTAGAGGTTGGTACAACCCCCGCCAAACCTCTTGAACATACCGGCCCAGTTTTTTTTGAATCTGTTGGGTCATTTTCGTGAGCATTTGGCGAAATGATCTGAAGGTATAGCTAAAGGAAATAACTATTCTGAAAATGGGCAAGACCAGCCCTCGAAATGAGGCATTGGCAGCACTAGCAAGCTCAATTTTGCAGATTCACATGAATCAGAGCTTATGAATATTTCTGGGTAGGCTGCGACGTGGCTACCATTTGCTAGAATTTCCCAGCGGCAACCATTGTTGGAATACCGCCGGGAACTCATTGGTCAAGTAGAATGGGGTGGCACCGGAAAACAGGACCAAATAGAGACTTGTGTCAGTTCTGAAGTTCCAATCAAAAACTTGACTTGGCTAATTATCCCTCACCCTAGTATAGTAGAATGATGGATAATTAGCCTAAATTGTTATATAACTAGCGTCTTCTTTCTTCAATTTAAAGATTTTTTTTAGCCATAAAATCATACATTTCAATATTTTTAAAAGTTTTTGAATGAATTTATTTCTTGGTATGATTTGTAATCTATCAAAATATAAAGAAATTTTTAAAATTAAATTTAAAAAATATAGCACTTTAATCATTTTTGAAAAAAATGATTATTAAATTCAAAACAATTGATATGAAATGAAAAAGAAAAAACTTATGTTTTGAAGTGTTTGGCCATTTCAAATTGAAGGTTTTACATGATTTAGGTTTCAATCAGATAGAAAAATTTTAAAAATGTATCTTATATGCAACAATATGCATACAAAAATTGTAGCACTCATAATTAGAGTGCATTTCATAAAGTTTGATCGTTTAATAAAAAATTTCACTTCAATGTATTATCCTACAAAAGAATATTAAAAGGTCATGTATATGTAAATTGAAACACATGGATTTAATATGAGGCATTAGTTTGCTACGATACAAAACATTCTTCCGATTTTATCTTAGAGATAATGGTATTTTTTTTCTTATGACACGTGAAATATACTCAATCATATTCTTAATCTCTTCGTCGAAGAACGTATATTGGATCAATTTATATACATAATGACCTTTTCATCAACTTAATACACCTCAAAAATATTTGATATCATGTCTAAAATGTTCAAATGTCATATTGATACATTAATCATTTGCAAAAGAGTAAACATGCGTTTGGATTCGATTCATATTGGAAAATTTTCATTGCACCAAATAAATTGAGTATCAAATATTCAATTTTCCTGGATAAATTGAAAAATATTTGCTTATTCCATCTTCACGGAAAGAAACCCAAACCTTAGGATTTCAATTGTGGGTGTTATCTTGAAACGTAAGGATGTGTACTGACGAAAGACTGGCGACGCAGAGAACATGCTTGAGGAGGCCACTTGTAATTTGAAGATGTAAAATAAAGTCAAGACGATTATAGTGAATCCATGATGAGGCACGTTCTGATCTTCTACTTTAGTAATATAAAGATTGTGCCAGCATGAACAGTGTAAAAGCTGTTGGTCTCCTCATCCCCATGTAAGATTAAATCCGTCCACAAAACAATGAAATAACATGGAAAGAGAACTCGAAATGATCCTTAGTCATTGTTAGAGGTTATAATCTAAAAATAGGAGTGAGTACCTTGACGCGTTTTGACATTTGGAATCATTGAGTAAAGAAGCAGTGTGACAGAATATAATTACTCGATGCTTTCTACGACTTGCATAGACCTAACTATGCACTGGCTATGCACTTGCTTGTGCTCTACCTCCATCAATAGTATTCTAGATTTCATGTTTCCATTTTTCTTTTTTGAAATATGAACAATCTCTATCATTCAATTCATGTTCTATGCACATATTCCCTCATGATTTATATACTTTAAATTTACAGCTCTATTCAAATAGAATCTGATACCATGTACAATTTTATTTACGTTTTCCTTATTCCATCATGGAGTGTTGGAAAAAGAGATGTGGCCATTTTACTTTGAAAATAAAGTGATGGAGTCCAGATTTCGGAGATTTTTAGTAGTTTATGGTTCATCTCGTCAGATCAAACATAGTATTTTGTAGTTGAATTGACTTTAATATGAATATGTATTTTGTGGCATGCCCAGTAGTATATTAAGGCAGCAAAAAAATATTCATTCTTAATCCATTCCTGATACTCCGGAGGTGATTATTTTATCACTACATAGAAAATATCATTATAATGGGATCATTGTCTTGATATCATTTTTCGTCTATTTTTAAAACAAAGCTTCATTTTTCTGTTAGGGCAGGGAAATATCTTCTAATAGGCTTTTACTATATTATCATTCTACTGATATAGTATCAGTTGCTAAATTGAAGGTTTCGTGGTTAGATAATCTTGTTCTAGATTGTACTTGGTTACTGCATCGAAAGAGAAAGTTACGGGCATTAAAACTAAGAAGGGGCTAGTTATCATTCGCTTGGGACTAATTAGCCCTAAGTGAATAATAACTAGGGTGAGGGCTAATTAGCCCTCATTGAAGGATAACTAGTCCTTCCTTAAAGTTATTGATATATCAATATATTAACATCTCTTTTACAAGTTGTTGGTCTACCTTGACTTTGAGCTTGCGGCATCAATCACACATCTATGTGCACATTATTTGAAGTTGTCACAATAAAAGATATTGATGAGATATTGTTGAACAAAATAACAATTATAATCATACATCAGATTGGATTGTCTTGTAGTGGGTGATTAAATGAACATTGTCATGATATGATTCATGCATACATTTCTAAATGGCTTGGCTTGATAATGATCTCTTATACAATTTCCTTTGCGTTTTATTTTTTTACTCCTTTCTAATCTGCTGAGGATGGCCCTTTAGTTTTCATTGCTATTGGTTAACGACATTATTATCATAGAATGGGGTTTTTTTTTTCCTACTTTGGGCTTGGTAAGCTATGTGTTGCTTTCTATCAGAACCTTATTAACCACTTTTACATCTTCCCTCCCTACTACTAAGAGTATCAAAAGTTTTAGCTTATTTGAGCTTGATTAAGTCACCATGTTTTTATTGTATCCCTAGGTGGTGCAATCCGTATGACAGTAATCATGACTCTTCATGTAATAATTTTGTTTGAATATGGCTTAAGAAATTTCAGATATTGTCGGTGCGGTTGTACATATTTTCTACTTCGATGCTTTGGTCGTCTAGCCCTGCAGCGTTTCATCCATGGGTCTTCCCATCTTTTTGATATTTTACTTTCTACTCTAATTTTCTCCTGCTTGAAGACCAAACATTGCTTTTTGCCATTACAGTCCGGAAAGAAGTCAAGAGGAGGGGGCAGAGATGCCGATAGAAGCCAGTGTGACGGAGGTCTAACACGGGTTTTTCGTAAAGGGAGCATATACCGAATGGTACCCCATCCCCTCCCCAGCTTCATCTAAATCGGCCATGGTGGACGCGGCCAAAAGCACCGTACCAGTAATCAGGTACGTCTGCCAAGTCTCGACTGACCTATGGCACATGATCGTGCGAATTCGGTTCGGATAAATTTTATTGGTCCACCATGTTCCCGAACAGTCTCTCATGCTGCAACATTTCATGATTGGTATTCTCTGATTCTGTGCAGTGGTCTCGTGGTCGCCACTCTTGCAGCATCCTGGAAAATAAGGAACGAACGACCCGCTTTTAGCCTAGACAAAAGGACTGGTCCAATCCGCGTGGATCAGTACTTCTTATGAGCAGAGGCTGTGTGATGCCCACATTGGATACTCTTGTTACTTCTTAAGAATACTCTGTTCTTGTTTGGAAGGGTGATTTTGTTTACAGTTTTGAATTGGGAAGTACAGAATCCGCGAGTCTATTCTGGCTGTACTTGGGAACTCGAGTCGGATCTCATTTGATTGATGAGTGGATTGGTTTCATGTCAGGCGAGAATGTTCTCTCGAAATCCTCGCTGTAGCTGACGGAGTGTTGTTCGAAGAATGCTCAATGTGGCATGCGCTGTGAGTGAGTGGAGCTGCCCGGAGTTGTATCGTATCGAGATCTTCACCAGACGCGTTTCGCGGTTTTCAATTCTTGAGGCGTCTTGCTGGTGAGAAGCAAGTCAAGGAGGCGGTGGCAGAGCAGTTATGGCTAACCATTTGGTGCACGGCACTCTACATGTGAAAATCTATGAAGCCGACGGGCTGGTTAATGACCGAGCAACTGGAGCTCTCCCCTCCCCTTTCCAAAAGGTGAAGTCATACTTCAGATAACGATGAATTTTTTGGAATGTTTGTCTCCTCTCGACATCTTGCAGATCGATGTTCTCTTATGACTCAGAATTCGGAAATCTGGGCCTCACTGGACATGTTGTCCTTAGATACGACCAACCAATCACTCGCGTCTGAGAATTTGATCCTGCTTTGGGTTGGTCGTAGTGAGGTGTTTCAGTAACATACTTGGAATACTGTTACTCTAAATATGTTCTGTTTCGCTTTGCAAGCTTTTGGACGGTTCAGCTTGCTTAGAATTATCTTGTTTTCGACAACAGAATCGCTGCAGTGAGCGAGTGTCAGTTACGCAGGTCTGTTGTGATCGGTGTGTACATCGTCTTCTTAGTCATGCTGAAAGGTCTCATGAAAAAAGATTCCAGGTTTTTCGACAGAGTATGACAAATTTGATGTGCAATTCTAGGTGGTTATGTCTCAAGCGTAGACAGGAGTCTCAGAGACCAAGAATTTAGGCAGGCTCGAGCTGTAAGGTCAAAATTTGCGCTCAAAATCATCTTCAGTTAACACGATGGTTTTCTTTCTTCTTCCCGTCATATGTGCAACTTTGTCAAGGTGGACGAGAGCTGTCGCACCTCAAGTCAGACCAAAAGGTGAAAAGAAGGATCCAGTCTCAGTGTCATCCGCATTCCTGGTCTTTCGGTTCATATGGTCCTTTTGTGGGTAGCCCGTCCCAGCAGAAGTTCTGCGCTCAACAGCAGCGAGACGAGAGGCTGAAAGATGGGATCGCGATCCTACGCCGTCACGAATTGCACGTCCTCGACCACCTTTCACCACACCGGAACCGCTGCCCGGTCATGGAGCGAACGACTGTCCGGGATCGCGTTCCGTGTCCGCGTTGCCGTCGGTCGTCTCGAGCATTCTGGCCCGTGTGCCGTGGATCAGTTTGATCGACTGTCGAGCCTGGAACGCCTTCGGGCCCGAGGAGGAAAACCGCACTACCAAATGCCGAGAGCTCGATAGCTCGAAAGCTCGAACATCAGTCGAAGGAAATCGGCTGAATTGCTCGATGGAAATCCGAACCCTACTGTCTCGATCATGAGTCGAGGGGAAATGTGGTGACAGGACTCTGACAGGGGGCGTGGGGGTGCAGGTATGGCAGGGCCTCGAGGACACCATCGGCCTGGGGCGCGGCAAGAGCCGGTTGTACGCGGCGGTGGATCTGGGCCCATCGCGAGTCGGGCGCACGCGCATCATCGAGCGGGAACCGGTGCACCCGGTGTGGAACGAGTCGTTCCGCATCTACGCGGCGCACGAGGTGTCGGACGTGGTCATCACGGTGAAGGACGACAACATGATCGGCGCGACAACGATCGGGCGCGCCAAAGTGCCGGTCACGGAGGTTTTGTCGCAGCGCACCATCGACGACTGGTACGACCTGTTCACGGACAGCGGCGATCCCGTCAAGGGCGGCGAGGCCAGAGTGCGCTTCCGCATGCGCTTCTACGCCGCCGTCGACGACCCGCACTGGAGTCGCGGCATTTTGGACCCCAGGTACGACGGCGTGCCATACACCTTCTTCCCGCAGCGCCGAGGCTGTCGCGTCACGCTATACCAGGACGCGCACATGCCCAACGGGTTCCTGGAGAAGATCTACCTTGCCGATGGACGCATCAAGCAGCCGACCCACTGCTGGGAGGACGCGTACCGCATGATCATGGGCGCGCGCCACATGATCTACGTCGCGGGCTGGTCCGTGTATACGGAGATCACGCTCATCCGCGACGAGGACCGGATGATCGAAGGCGCCCAAGGCGTCACGCTGGGCCAATTGCTGAAGCGCCGGGCGGACGAGGGCGTGCGAGTGAACATTCTGGTGTGGGACGATCGCACCTCGAACATGATCATGGGCGCGAAGGGCGTGATGGGGACGCACGACGAGGATACTTTTAATTACTTCCAGAACACGAATGTGAATTGCATTCTGTGCCCGCGGAACCCTGACACCTCCGCGCTCAGTATAACGCAGTCGCTGCAGGGAGGTACCATGTTCACGCACCATCAGAAGACGCTGATCGTGGACGCGCCGCTTCCCTGGGGCCACGAGACCGGGCACCGCCGGATTGTCAGCATGGTCGGAGGCCTGGATCTGTGCAATGGGCGCTACGACACGCCGAATCACCCTCTGTTCAGCACTCTGCACGATATTCACAATGGTGACTTCCACCAGCCCAATTTCATGACGGCCATGATCGAGAACGGCGGCCCTCGCGAGCCCTGGCACGACATTCACGGCCGCGTGGAGGGCGAGATCGCCTGGGATGTGCTGTACAACTTCGAGCAGAGATGGAGAAAGCAGGCTGGGCCCAGGAATCAGGAGAAGCTGGTCCCCATCGTGCGCACCGACGACATGGTCCCACCTTGTCCCGTGCTGGCCGAGGGAGATCATGACTCGTGGAATGTTCAGCTGTTCCGGTCCATCGACAGCGGGGCGGTGACTTTCCCTGAGTCTCCCGATGAGGCTGCCAGATCTGGGCTGGTGAGCGGGAAGGATGTCGTCATCGACCGCTCCATCCAAGACGCGTACATTAACGCCATCAGGCGAGCGAGGGATTTCATCTACATCGAGAACCAGTATTTCCTGGGCAGCTCATTCGGTTGGGACGAAAGGAGGGATGTGCAAGCGCTTCATCTCGTTCCCATGGAAATCGCTCTGAAGATTGTGAGCAAAATCGAGGCTGGCGAGCGGTTTTCGGTCTACGTGGTCATTCCCATGTGGCCCGAAGGCGACCCGGATGCCGGAGCTGTTCAGTATATTCTGGCCTGGCAGCACCATACCATGCAGATGATGTATAAACGTATCGCTGTAGCTCTGCACGCCGTGGGAAGTGAAGAGACCCCCAAGGACTACCTGAGCTTCTTCTGTCTTGGCAACCGTGAGACCTACAAGGAAGGAGAATTCAAGCAGGTCAACAAGCCTCTCCCAGGCTCCAACTATCAAAGGTCTCAGGACTCCAGGCGTTTCATGATATATGTCCATTCGAAGATGATGATTGGTAAGTACGCTCTTCTGTCGACCTCCTTACGGACTCACTCGCTGTCTCGGATGAGCAAGTTTCGGCTGCTCCCTACTCTTGATATCGATCAGTGGTGATGTGGTGGTCTTTACTGGCTTGAATTGCAGACTGAGCTTGTGAATCCGGAATCACCCGTGTCCATTGCTTGACAAGCAGAGGCAGCTGTTGGTCATCAAAGCTATCAGGATTCTTGTTGCTTATTTTGCCTTGTCAGAAGCGGCCCTTCTAACGATCTGTGATGTTGGTTTTGTGCACTGCATCGTGTGTGAAGCGAGTATGAAGCTCTGATGAAATATGATCCATACGAAATATGTCCTGTCGAAATATGATCCATACGTCGCTGATGGTGGTTGAATTTATGGCTGTGCAGTGGATGACGAGTATATAATCGTGGGGTCTGCAAACATTAACGAGCGATCCATGCACGGGTCTCGAGATACAGAAATTGCCTTTGGTGCTTATCAGCCATTTCACATAGCTGGAATGCACGACCTGCCTCATGGAGAGGTACATGGGTTTAGGATGGCCCTCTGGTATGAGCACATGCGAAGAATCGACAACGTCTTCTTGCGGCCAGAAAGTCTGGAATGTATACAACACGTTACCGCAATGGGTGACAAATTTTGGAATCAGTATGCCCAAGATGAACCATGCGATATAGAGGGCCATCTACTAACCTACCCTGTCACTGTTGGTCAGGATGGAGAGGTGGCCGCGTTCCATGATGCCCAGTATTTCCCCGACACTAATGCTTTTGTTGTTGGAACCCACGGCATCACTGCGAAATCAATGCCACTGCCTACGATTTTGACCACATGAGTGAAACTGCCACAAGTTCTTCCACCGTCCACAGCAGGCTCCTTGAATCAAAGTCTGGCATGACCCATGCCATCATCATTGATTCATTGGACCATGCTTACACGACTGACCAGGCTTACCTTAAAGCGGTTGAAGTGCCAAGGGCCCTGGTGTACCGCGGATGGATGCCTTGGCTATAGTAGGGATTGATTCATTGAGATGATTTCAGAAGAAACTCTAGAGCCTGAACCTCGAGAAAAGCACCCACTGGTTAACTATCTGCGAAACTCTATGGGTAGTATTTTCGATACCGGTCATGCTTTGAAGTCTCGGAGATTCTCGAACAAATTCTTGCAGGCTGTGTTCGGAACAGAGCAGTAAGTTTGCTTATCGTCTCATACATTCCTCAAGGAGACTGGAATATAGACCGGAGGGAAGACACATCGGGAGGAAAGGGCGAAAGGAGGTCCGAAGGATTTATTGGAGCTTGGAGGACTTATTTTATTATGAGAGACGTCGCCCGCAAGACAGAGGCGAATGAGACCACGTGTATATATGTAAAGAGAGAAGAAAGGGCGATTGTTCCACCAACCGTATACTCTGCAACTGGGTTTTTCATTGTTCAAGCTGCTGCGATCTGCATTCTCGATCTCTCGAGGCCCATGAACTTCCTTCAGTACCTACCAACATAGGTAAAGAAGCTCTTTATGACTGAACTTATCGTCAAATGAACAACTCCACACTCTTCTTTACGCCCCTGCCCTGTCCCCAGGTTTACTTTGTCATGGTATAGAAAAAAACCCACACAACTTCCTAAAACTATCATCGTGGCCGCTCAGTCACGCACCAAAGACGCCACTTACTAGACGTGGACACTAAAAGAGTAGCTGAAGGAGATGATATCCGCCAGTGTCATGCTGAACCTACTCCAGCGAAAAGCGGCCGACATGCTTTTGAATACCTCAGCCCTGCCGACTCCTCTAAATGATAGTCTGGAGGAGATTCGGTCTTCCAGCAGCTGAATGCCTGTATTCCTCAAAACTGGACTGTAAATCACCTGAACGTCCAAGAGGATAGATCAGCATGGAGTCGTTTGCCGTAGCCTGTTATTTAATACTGAACGTATGTGCCTGTGAGTGAACAATATCACAAATGGTACTACTACAAGTAGTGAAGCAATGACCTTCTGGATCTAAAGAAGATATTCTGTCTGGATTGCAGAAGTTTTGTCATATTACTCATTTACCACATAATTGATCCCAGGACTCCCCGATTTGTGGTTTATGTTCTTCTGAAGATATGTAAGAAGTACCTTCACGTTGTCGACTGGTAAGAAGCTCGGATTCCATCTACCCATCTAGAGATGTTGACTGTCGTGCAGTCGTTGGTCGGTGAGTGCACAAGGAAGCTACATTTGGGAGAACTAGAGTTGGTTGACGAATAAACTGCTGTCCAAGTAGTACAGGAGCTGCATCAGTCAGATTCATGCAAATATTCCGCTTACAGAGGCGCAGAGCATTAGCAATCCCAGTGCAGCTGAAAACAAATTCAGGAGAATGCAACTTACGACGGTTCAGAAGACGTTTGTCTGAGGACTTCATGTATGATAAGACCATGATAAAAGAGAAGAAAATAAGGAGATCAAATCCGATCTTGGTAATGCACGAGGTGCAGCATGCTGGAAGAAGCATGTGAAAGAAGTGCTAATCCATAGTTCACAATGTGCATATTCTAGTTTCGCTACTAAACACCATGCCTCGGCTTGCTGTTCGAGTCCGTTTATAGGCTTAAAAACGTGAATGATGTACTCATATGACTCCGTTTACATTACACTTTCATGCGGCTATGTTCTCAATGTGATGTTAGCGAAAGAGATCAAAACAGGTTGTGTTATTGGTTAATTTAGCGTAGATCAGCGCAAAACCATGGTCGGTCATTGGGCTCTAGAATGCATCGACCATTGTCCAACATTCTTATCTTTAAGGTTTGGGAAATAGAGTTCTCACAATCATGTAAAGGCCCAAGTACTTTACAAGACATGTTGCACAACTGACAGCTAACTGCCTGCTGTCTGCTAGAAAATCGAGCAAGACCGTAAGAAGACCGTCGAAGTAAACGTCGAGAGTGATTCCACCATGTATGAAATGGGAGAAAGATGTCCGCTTCTGCGAGATTCATATGATATGACTGATACCACTCTTAAACAAAGACAAAGACAAACATGTCTTGACAAAGGTCAAAAATCATGTCTTGACAAACATGTCTTTTGTCTCTAAACATGTCTTCCACTACCTTTTAATTGGTACGTGAAATACAATAGAGAATTGTACCATGAAAGTTTTGCACATTTGATTCTTGTAAGGTTTGAAGTATCTACTCAAATGAAACATATAGATTCGTTTTTTTGAAATCTCTACCCATACATACTATGGTTACATCTGAAAACTTATTAACATCTTATGGAGTTTTGAAGAAAATAACGATTCTTTTGTTCAGTTTTGATATCTATCATTACAAATTTGAAGTATGGGGTGTTAGTGGATACATGATCAATTCCGCAATTTCAAGCACCGGCTAGTTATTCCTCACTTTGGGCTGATCATCCCTCATCCTACTATAAGGTTTGCTATGATTGATCGAAGGTTATAGATTCAAGTGAGGTGGGTTATTGGTACTTCTAACATGGTTAATCATTGCCTACCTCCCTCGCGTGCTCGTCTCTACCTGATTCTAACAACTTCTCGCACTTGTATCTTCTCTCTCTAAGGTACACAATTCTCCAACCTCGGATTCCCGGAGCTCGTAGACCAATATCGGAGCAGACGTAGGGATTCCTATGTATGCTGAGCAAGGAGCAGATTCTTCTAACATGACGATGGCATGGCATGTTAGGGCAGAGACGGGGCTTGGACGCATTGGAAGAGTCACGCTTGGCTCGTGAAAAGTACAAAGCAAGGTTAGATCAAAGATTAGCCGTGGACGCTCGGCTATGGGTCTTGCTAAATCATCGGTACAAAAAGTAATCGCTGAAGTCTCAATGCGAATGCTCCCGGGCACCGGCTCAGCCAATCGCCAGTCCTCGGATATGGGTCTTGCTAAATCATTGGTACAAAAAGTAATCGCTGAAGTCTCAATGCGAATGCTCCCGGACACAGGCTCAGCCAATCGCCAGTCCTCGGATGAAGCGCAGTGAGCAAGCCTCGCGACAAGGCCTGCTAGTCGCGTCGAAGGAGAGATCAACAAAGCTTGTGCTTCCTCTAAGCCTGGCAAGAATGCTGCGGATTGCAAATATCAACGAAACTTCAGCAACAAGCAGATGATCGACGACTGGGCTTTGTGATATTCCTTCACGTCGCGGAAATAGGCAGCCTGCAGAGCTTCACCGGTATAGGGCTAACTTTTATTTAGGCCCAAAGGGATCCCGTCAGTGTTAACGCCATGTTAGAAGTATCATAAACTCATGACATTGGCAGCTATAACTTTTGACCAATAACAGCATACTGTTTGGTAGGGTGAGGCATGATTAGCCCAAAGAGAGGGATAACTAGCCGCTCTTTTTGTTTTTTGTTCCCTTCGTGCTAGATACAACTACACTTTCTCTCGTAATTCTGTGTAGAGCCGTTCATGGTATAGCTATATACTATGATATCGCTATATATCATAGTATCTATACTTTAGTAAATATCTATAGAACAAAGATACACAACTGTCATATTGGATCATTCTGAATGTGCAAGCAAGAAATAGTAAAAAATTGACATTTGTCGTGGCAAAAATCACCCATAGTACATCAAGCACTTTGTTGATTGTTTTATACAATTTTGGATTGTGGGAGTGATTAGCGTTCCAATCAGTACTAATTATAAAGCTTTTGAGATTTGATCATAGACTCTTTCAAGCACTCTAATGACATGCTAGAAGCAAATTACCTTAATCGTTTGATATGTTGACACATAACTTCAAATGTGGGTTTTAGTTTCTGTTTCATAGGGTGAAGCACTCCATCCTTTGGACTAGCTAACTTCTTTTGTTTAACATTGTCTTTGATGATGTTTGAGATCAACTAGGCAAAAGCTTGTTGAATACACGGAGATGACAAATAAATTTTACAGTTTGGGGGTGAAGAAAGAGATTACTTTGCAAGATGAATATGTTCAAGTCATACATATTAGTATTTGGCTTCGACTATATGTTACTTGAGATGACTCGATAAAGATGATGTGCTATAATATAAGAAGCATTAACACAAGAGTTGGTGATAACAACAATCACGCTAATTTTAGTATTCAAAATATAGTATAAAATATAATCTATATAGTATAATAATGAAATCTATATTTAATATATATATAGTATTTTCATTGTATTTAAATGATAATGTGATAGATTTCAATGTGACTTAATGTGAGTCTTTTGTCTCTCTAGAAAAAGTATCATTCTAGGGGTGATGTATTAGCTAATTTATCATATTTTATTGATGCATTCATGGCATATGATATAATTCATCTATTTACTGAATTATGTTGTAAATATATTTAAAAATAGATATCATCTATACAAGTAAAGTAGATTGAGCTAAACATTTTAGCTTCAATTGATGATAATACTACTTTGAATTTTATACACACACATATATACATGTGTGTGTGTGTGTGTGTGTGTATATATATATATATATATATACTATCAAACAATTTACACACTTAGTGTAATGAATTCTATCATATTGAATAATTCATACAAAAATTTGGTTCATAGCAAAATTTACAACAAATGAATTATTCTACGATTTTCGGAATTTCAATGTTTTGAAATTTTTTGATTCAGTACTTAAAAATTCATAATTGGATATATTTTTTAAAAATTGACTTGGAAATATTAAAAAATTTTATGTTAAAAATAGTTTTAGTATACTTAAAAACTTCAAAATAATAATATGTTGGATTTTGTATTCAATGATGTACTTGCATGTCTTAAATATAAAATTAACATTATAATGATAAAAAATCAAGCTGAAAAAAATTAAAGTTTTTTTTTTACTTTTAATTTCATCTTTACAATAGTTGATTTGATTAAGAATTTGTCATTAAGAGTAGAATAAGTAAAAGAAAATTGAACAAGTGTATAAAGATTCAACTACAACATATTATTTTTTTTGCAAATGAGATGAGATCAACAATGATGAAATCAAGAAGAAATATTATGCTTAAATGAGAGTAGATCATTTGTTTGGTGATTCGCTAATGTACCCGATCTAACAATTAGTATCAGAGTGTTGTAGCATGTACATAATACTTTTTTTTAAAATTTCAAGACTTTTGATTGTAGAGTCATTTACTAAAATCTATATGTGAATAATCTATTTGATTTTTTGTTTCATTCTTTGATTTTTTTTACTAAATTGTTTCACCCGAAGTATAACTTTGACTATTCACTTATATCACAAGGTTAAATACAGATTTTTGTGCATAAGGCTGAATCAAATTTCAGCTTATTGTTTTAACTAATCTCAAATTCAAAATTTGTGTCTAAAGTTTTTTAAAAAATTTTGTGAGTAAACAATTATACAAACTCTCATATGAATTTTTTAATATTCCTGAAGCAGCAAAAGTAATTTTAAAATTAATCTAATCAATTTAAAACTTGGCAACACGTAACACACAAAATCTTGTGATGCTGCAACAATCATTAAAAAATGTAAATTTCATTCTCAAATGTATATCCAAATCCTAATTATCTCAAAGTTATCAAATTTGCCAAAACTTTGTGACTCTTCCTCAATTACAAAAAAAATCTTAATTTTATTTTCAACTTTAAATCATAGTTTACTTTTATTTAAACTATCAACTATATTTAAAAAGCAACCCAAATGACTTATACTTTAACTTAACACGTAATACACATTTCAATTTTAGTTTGCTTCAAATGGTTTTCTTGGAATCATGTGAGTTTTTTTCAATAGTAAAAAAATTAAATCTGAGTATTAACTTCAAATTGAATTTCAGATATTTTTGAAAAGTCAATTTCTTTCAAAATTAACCCAATCAATTGATAATTTGAAACTAAGATGTAACACATATTGTAAGAAAAAATTGGATTGAGACAGATTTGTTACAAATCTTGTAGAGCTCTTGCAATCTATAAAAATATTCTTCAAGTGTAATTTTTACTGTCAACTTCAAACTAAAATTTTGATAATTTTTTTATATCCTTGTCAACATCAAATAATAAAAATGTAAAGTTAATTTTTTATAAACCTTTTTTTAAAAACTTGATCTTGAACATTGCAATAAATTTCTAAGTATTCTATCACAGCTGTATAATACTCTTTTCCATAATACTCACAAGAAAATCTGTCCACAATCTCTTGTATCGATAATTGTTTTAATTTCAACATAAGTATTCAATAAAACCAGGACGGATATTTTGTGATTCAAATTCATGAAACATTTAGTATAAAATGTATATGGTATAATCCCAAGTCTTTACATGATAAACAGTTGAAAGAATCGATGACACTCTTGACTTCATCACTCTAGTCATAAAATTTGCACCTAAACAAGCCACAATATACATCAAAAAATGATGTTTCTTCATGTAACGAAGGTGAATATCAAATAGGTTATGAATCGATCAATACGTACAAGATTCTTATCAAGCCTATCCATATTTGCAAAACCACAATTTTTCCCTTTCCCCCTCTCTTTACATGCAGATCAATGACCTCTACCAACCTCTATACACTCTCAAAAATTGCATGCCATCATCATTCACTTGCTATCATATGAGATATAATACACACTCAAGGAAAGAGCAAGATCGCTTTAATATCATTGTTACACTAATATTTATAGAGAAGCTCACTCGAAGATGAAAATATAAATTTTGAAGATGAAAGATCCAACAATGGTTCTACTTTTTTTTTATATAGCTCCCACTAACAAGTACAAGGAGATAAGATCTTATCCGCCCCTTTCATTCCACATCTAGTCAATGGATGATGTGAAGTATAATACTAACAAGCACACTGATCGTTGACGTAACGCTATCAATTAACACACTTACTCCCTACCTACCAAACACGTGAATCGCTTACATAGCACCTATGACTAATGTGCACAAAATTCACTATATAAACATTTTGAATAACCTATATTTTGTATCTAACTAATTAAAGATAGTTATAGATGCTATCTAAAAGACTCAATCTCTGAAAAATTATACTATGTATTTTATATTTATAATTAATCAAGTTTTGTGTGGATTTATTTACTCACTCAAAATTTTGAGGTGTTTATAACTTTCAAAAGTTGAAAAGCCAAAGTTGAGACTCATACTTGAGGTACGGAAAATTGAGGTATATATTCACGGTTTACGCTCCGCAACAAAATGTTGTTTCTAAGAGTTTGAATCAAACAATGTTGGAGAAGTTGCATAGCATGTTGAGCCAATCTGATTTACCGTATGAAATTTTTTATTAAAGATGTCAATATCACAATATATTTGATATATTTTCTCATTCTAGTGCAAACAATTTTTTGACACTGTTTGAACTGAAATACAAATAAATAATTGATTGTATTGGTTTGAAAATCTCTTATTATACTTTCTATTCTTTCATATTCAAGGAGAATAGTACTAAGTTGGTACCTATATCCAAGAAGTGTCATTTTCTTAAATATGCTAGTGGTGTGAAAAATTACAGGCTCTGGTATCCAATAGCTTGTAAGATGATTGTCAATAAGGATGTTTTTTTTTGAGTCCTGATCATTGAAAGCCGAAAAAAGTTCCCAAGCTTTTCATACTGATAAGAAAATGTCTCCACTAACGTACGTTGTTGAGGTGAAATTTGATCATTATGTGATAAATCAATAGAACAAGGAAAATTTCCGATACAAATGAAGGAAATTTCAAAGAAATATGAACTAGAAAATTAGATTATTGTTGATGATACTCCAGTATTTATAACGGAGGCTCATGAACTAGAAATTAACTATAACTATTATGAGATCATAAAATTCAGTTAATAGAGCTCTTGTGAGGTATGATTTATGGGCTAATTCATATATTCTTAGAGATTATGACATTGATAAAATGGATGATGATAACACTACTTTGATTTTGGAAGAAAATTAAACTTCTTACAGAGAAGTTCAAGTTTTTGTCAATAAGTTTGAGTGAAATGCTGCAATGGATAGTGAGATGCAGTCGTTAATTGATAACAAGATTTGGAAGCTTGTTAAACTTTCTAAATATCAATTTTTGATTGATTGCAAGTGGATGTACTACAACCTCCGGCCCTAACTCTCACTCAGGTTTATCTCAAATTGCTTAACAGTAGCTCATCATTGTTCTAGAAGGCTAGAATTCCTCCTCATGTTCATGTCTCAAACACCCCCTCACATATTCTCTCTGTTCATCACTCAAGTTCATACACATCAACACTCCAAGATATTAAAAAATCTCACTCTTTCATTGATCAAACAAGTCTCTACACATGAACTTTCTAAAACTTGCTTAAGAGGCTATTTCTTAATTCTTTATATGAACTACTTGTGAATTTACCATAGTAACAGATAGTAATTCTTATCTAATTTACTTTTGCAAAGATAAATCATAGTAACTTTCATTAGTTTCTAATATGTAGCAACATGTCATTGGTCTCTTAAACCTTCTAGATGTTTATTAGTTTTTACATTGAAGTGAATACATGCTATTTAAGCTTTTTCAACTTCTAAAACCTTCATTTGCTAATAGATTTACTCTAA